TTACTGTCGATCTTCATTTGCAAGTAAAAACATTTACCGTTCATCTCGTGCCTTTATTTGGAGTTAAGGTAATTAAATTTTCCATTATATATTTTATCATACCTTATTTTTTTTAGACACTAATTTAATTGTTTTGTAATGGAACTGACTAGAATTTTTAGTAGTTGTAACATCATCGCTTTGAAATAACATAATAGTTTGTTTTCTAACCTTAAAATTATGGAAATAGTTATTGGGTTAGTTGGCGCACGCCGTCTCACCCTAAAAAAGGAGGAAGAAACCCTGAGAAAAGTGTTAGTCACCATCTGCCCAGTTGCTAGTACTTCTAAAGTGAATGTGGTACGCAAACCCAGTCGTCAGCTTGCTGAAATATTGACATCTCCAGAAAATATTTTAAAAAGGAAAATACTAATAGAAAACAAGATTAAATTGTGCCAAAAAAAAATCAGGATGAAAAAAATGACAAAACATCTAAGATCAGCCAACCGGAAAAAACAAGAAACTCGTGTGAATCTTTTTCGGCAGAACTACGCTACAAACTGTTAGCGGAAAACGAAAAGAAAGGTGTAAAAAATCAATCGTAAATGGCGACGAACCATGAAAAGCAAAATAAAAGAATTCAGAGACTACAGTACCTCTTCTTCAGATAGTGATGTAACTACGTCAGTAGTTACATTACTATCGAAGCGATTCAAATAGCAACATCCATGACAACGATGAGAAATCTGAGTGTGTTGGCTATGGGGAGACCTACATAAACACTACAAGTCAAAAGGCCTAGGAGCTGCACGAAGTTTCCGAACTACTGCTTGCGATGCGACCGACGTGACAGTGTTAATATTTAGTCATTTTTTCTCATTTTTTGTATGTGCGCCATATCCCCCATACCCTAGGGGTGAGATGGTACGAGCCCCTTCCCACTTCAGTTGGCCCACTTCAAGATTTGTAACAAAATATGCATTTATAAACTAAACATGACTAAACTATTTACTTCTAAAACAATTTATTTTCTCAAAAACATAGATTAGATACACTCTAGTCGTAAAAAATACATATTCGAAATCACTTAGACCTATAACTAATAGAACATCTGAACAAATAAACAATGTGCTAATAAATGCGCGAAGTTAACAAAGCAACAATTGAAAGATTACCATTGGGTAACATCACCTTTATTTTTTATTACGGCTGAAATTCTTTGGGGCATAGTGTTAACCAACTTTTGGCAAAAATTTGGTGTAAAAAAATTCCATATTTCTTGAAGCTTTTGTCTCAGTTCGGTGATTGTACGAGCAGGATGTTGTCGTAGAACCTTTTCCATCTCGTGCCACAAAGTTTCAATAGCTGACAGATCTGGACTGCTAGAAACCCATTTCAAAAGTGGCACATTATTTTCTTCCATCCATTTTATAGCCTTTTTGAGGTATGGCACGCTGCACCATCTTGCTGAAACATAAAATCTTGGCCGCATGTCAAACATTCTTCCATCACTGGTAAAAGCGATTCTTCTAAAATTGACAAATATTTGTTTGTATCCACATATCCATCAATAAAATGAAGTTTTCCTACTCCTTTTGATGACATACTGCCCCAGACCATAATGAATGCTGGAAATTTCACTTTTCTCTTCAGACAGTCAACATGGAATGCTTCATTTTTTTGCGAATAACTCTACTGCGACTGTCACCAACACAAACTTCGAATCGGGCCTCATCACTCCATTGTATTGCACACCATTGTTGAGGTGCCCATTGTCTAGGTTCTTTAGCCTATCTAAGCCAATTTTTCTTTTGCAGTGGAGTTAATAGTGGCTTTTCTTTGGCCTATAAACAAGTGCAACTTTAGGGTTTTTACTTCACTTTTTTTTATAAGAAACCTTACCTTGCAAGTGCTAAATCCCAGTTTGTGGGCCTCTCTACGAGTTGTGGACGTCGAAATTCTCCTTCCAACAGCGTCACTCCACAGAGCACTTAATTGTAAATAATTGGCACGCCTGTTTTTCACGATTATTCTTCTTAATGCTCTTCGGTCGGCGTTTGTGATATTACTTTTTTTCACATATCGTGGCTTAATATTAACTGAACCAGTTACGTTATATCTTCTACCAATATTTCTCACACTGTGCCGCGATAAGTCTAATAAAGTTGCAATTTCTGAGTTTGATTTCCCAGAACTAAAAAATTTAATTATAAGTAACCGAATTTTCTCACTAATAACCTTTCCTCTACCCATTTTGAAAACCTTAACTACCCAAAACTATTTTAAACGTATTCTTACAGCTGTGATTAATAAAAATAATTGTCATGGCTTTTGCATTGCATTGCATTGAAATGAAAATAGGTTGATATGCTGTAATTGCAACATGTGTTATTTTTATGCTGCAAATTTGATTAGGGAGTGATAAAGCTGGTGTTTTCTATTATATATTATCAAAATATTCATTGTTAATATTTTAAACATACAACATCCTGCTACATTTTTATTATTTGTGTTTGATAAGAGAAAAACTAAGATTTCAATAGTAAGGCCAACTGGAGTGGGACGGGGCTCGTATTTCCTATTATTTAGAAAAAAAACATTTTTTGTAAGTAACTTCAAATAAAGTTTTGCATTTTTGTATTTTCTACTTTTATTTTATTCAGTACTACTGTATAAAAAGTTGATACTCATTAAATAATTTAAATCTGATTTTTTATATGAATTTAAAAAAACGTGCGACATCTCTACCGAGTTTACCCTATATATAGAATTACCAATGTTGGGAGCGTATAAATGAATTAACATAAAAAAGATGAAATACAACCTTCCCACCTTCCTCAAGTTGATTGCCTCTAAAATTGTTTTAGAAATAATCAGAATCCTTTGAACGTCTAAAATCGAAGTTTGAGCGACTTTGTTTCTTTTCCGTCTTTGTTTTTTTGTTTGCCGCCACTGGACCGATTTCCAGAACCTACAAAGCTTTTGTGCCCTTGGTATAGTAGTAACGTAATATTTTATTTATTGCGATGCATTCTGTGTCAGATAAACCGAACTTAATTAAACGCAGAACTCGTGACTAATGGTAAGCTGAATCCAAATTCAAGATGAGATGTAAATAATAACAGTTAGCGCGTGATCTCTCGGTAACAGGTGGGGATAACGCCTCTTATTGGTCAATTCGCCATTAAATTTCAAGCGGTCGCAGGCAGAGTTGCACTCAGGCCACCGTCCGTCGCGTGTATCACTGCGTGCTCGTGTTTTCGTATTCACCTTGCTTGGTTGTTGCTGTTGTTGTTGTTAAGTGTATTTGAGTAATTTCTTAAGTTTCTGTTAAATACTGTCATCTTTGTTTTACAACACGTTGGTGGTAGTCCATCATCCGGAGGTAGCCCTGAATGCGGCCCTGTACGCTGTCCTTGCTTTTGGCAATCACTCATCCATTCTATCTTGGGTGTAAATACACTATAGTTATGTAGTGTCAGTCTGACAGGGCGTCATTGGAGTAGCTGAGTGTCAGTCACCAGTGAGTGATCAATGCGTTAATGATCGTAACCAGATTTGTCAGGGAAGAATGAAACAAAATAACCAGTTTTTGACTATATTAGCCATGTCACTCGATTCATTATTGCCAGCAAATTTAAAACATAGATGTACCTTGCTGACCGGGTGTTCGCCTCATTAATCAATCGGTTTGTTGCGAGAAGAGTTGTGGGTGGTTTCGCGTTTTCTTGGGAGCTTTTGGTGTTTTCAGGACGATGGACGAGGGTGACATATATGGTACATTAAAAACTCGCTTGTCGGTTTGGAGGACTGGACGTTCTTTCTTTGGGAACGGAAATATCTACCCCAGGCTGTACTGGGCTATGCTGGTTCTGCATAGTGCCATCTTGAAAATCGGAATGATGACTTCGCGTAATCTCAGCATGTTACGGGACTTTGAAACTGTTGTAGTATCACACTGTATAGGAATGTGATAATGAAAAGAAAAATAAAACGCTATTCAAGCGGAATCGCGCAGCAACCCTCTGTGCGCGTCCCGGTGGACAACATAGCAAGTTCGTAAACATTCAAGGCCACGGATCGCACTGTGATAAAAGATTGTCCCAAAATTACACTCTAACAAAACCTGAATCAAAATTTGTTGTTAGTTCACATCAAAATTAATCCAAGTCTAAAAGCGCTGTGTTTCCTCTTAAACTGATGCACTTCCGTTTTTATTTGCTTTTCTCCTTTTCTCTTTTCTTTCCCTTTTTTTTTCCTTGACATTGTCTGGTTCCTGTCCAGTCAGGACTGACAGATTCGACTAACGTACATTAGACAGTGACGAATAGTAAAAAACAAACGAATTGTCACCTGGCAGACAGATAAATAAAATATATTGTTATTATACTGAAGAAGATCAACTCTGTGATTGAATCGTTTACTGCAGTAATGAATATCTGTCAATACGTGTGGTTTTATTGACCAGGCAAGCATGGAGGACCTCAACAGACGTTAAAACGTAGTATTGATAAAGATACTGTATTTATGGGCTCCAATAGAGGGTAGGATTATCTTTCGCAGACATGATGTCAACTGTGCAATTTGACGTCATTTCATTCCACGTGGAATTTTCTGGCACTATCAAAGGCCCTCTAAAAGTTCACATTCCGTCGATCCTCGTCGTGATCATCATTTATCATGCTGAGTGAAGCAATGCTGTCCCTTTCCTTCATAGTAGCATCGTAACCATCACAATCAGTATTCCTTACAAGATGAATTCATTAAACTTATATTGACACAACTCGCTAGGTTTACCTGTTTTGACTTGCTTCCTACAAATTCGTTTCCACAGTGGTGAAGTTAATTTGCTACTGTGACCGATATGCAACGTGTGCGACTACCTTAATGTACTGCCAGTCTGCAAACAGCAACGACTTGGTGGCACTAGCAGCCCACTACTCGTCGGCGCGTAACTGCCTGCTGTCACGAAACATTAAATCCTATCAGGAATAAAACGGACCGTAATTAAGTCTACTAACTTCTGTCTTGTGTCCTGTGCGTGCTTCTGTCTGTCTTCGTTCCTGCCAATTAGTCAATCCATGGGTGGGGATGGGGGGAGTATGTCTGCAGTCTGATAATTTGCTAATCGGAATGAACCATAAAAACACCATCAGAAAGGTCTCCTTAGAAACTACAAATATCAGAATGTTTTGTAAAATATGACCTGGCGTCTGATAATGCAGGTCTTCTGGTACCTGATAATGCACGTCTCCTGGTACCTGATACTAATTGGATGAATAAATAATCTGAACTACGAACAAAGTAAAGTGAATCTGTGTTCTGCTACCATAACGCTTCACCTCCGTCTCGTACATTGGTTGTTTGTCAAACAAAGGACCCCGCGCAAAGCATGTAGAAAATGAGTCCCAGTCCATTTGGCTAAAAATTCAGTATAGTATATTTCTCGCTTTCCTGAACAAACTTTCTAATAGGAACAAAGCTTTCCTATGATTAGTTTCTGAAAAATAGGGGGTGAAGCAAAAATGGCGAATGTGCCGATTGCAGTTTTCAGGCCAAGAACTCGGAAATTGTTATACCAAAAGAAATATTTCATTAAAATATAAAGATGTCTTAACCATGATCCTTACCAAGGGAAAATTGATTTTTATTATGTAAATACCGGAATGGAACAGGCACGCGTTGTTCGATCATTTAAAAAAAATTCACTCAAAGGGCACTTCACTTCAAAAGAGCGCGGAAAAGACGTAGTTGTTTACTTGTCATTGATTGTGGTCTCTACAAGGGCAATTCAAGGTCATGTTGATTTTGAAGGCACACTAACGAGAACAATAACTCTAAGGTACTGTGATTTATTGACTATTATTTTGTGTGTTCTTGTTTTGGTCTGCTTCAGGCATATCTAACGATTTATGTTAACTTTTCCGAAGGATAACGACCTCCAACCTCACGGAGAGTATATCAAAATAACCCCATGTGCCTAGAGTTCTGACGCCAGATTTAGCTCTACAATATTGCCCATTAATTATTGCACGATCGTCAGGTAAATTCTCATTATTTTCGTAAGCTTGTCGATAATATATCCATAGTCAATACCTTATTGGGCTTCTGAAACGTGAGTTAATTCCTTGTGTTGATACTACCAACAACAACGTCGTGTCCTTGAGGTGTCGAAGTACTATTAATCCCGTTTGGGATTCATGAATAATGCAAAAACAACACTTGTAGTCGACGATTGCCTAATAGCCAACATCGGTGGCTAAAACAAATGAATTATGTCGTCTTGAAGACACATACGATTAAATCTTTGGACAAGGCTGCCGAGGCAGCTGAAACATCAGTAAATTAGTCCATTTAACACAAGTGTTTTCACTTATGGGTCAGTGTAATGGAGATAGATAAGTTACAACAACTTAAAGCAATTTTCACACTTGTGAGCTTTCATTTTCACCTTCTAAATAAAGATGACCTTGACTTCACCATGTAAATGTCATAATCAAAGACAAGGAAACAACCAGGACATTTCTGTGCGCTTGGGAAACGAACTATCCTATTGAAAAGTAGCTTGGCTTAATGTATCTATATCCACAGGTGACCAACCACGGGTAGTTGTTTCGTGCTTTTTGGCAACTCATCAGTATGGGCCAGGCTTGGTTTCAGATAGGTCAACTAGTCAAAGCTGAGCAGTTATCCTTTATCCATTATATAATGTCTATAGAAATAAGACAGTATAACTTTCCATCAAATTGACTATGATCTTAACGCCTTTGCTAGCTGTTTCATGGAATATTTTCTTCAGTACACCAATTCTCCGGGTTTTTGGTTTGAACACTACAATCGGCATATTCACGATTTTTTCAAATTGGTCAAACTCATCACCATATTTCTCAGAAACTGGTCACGGAGATGCTTTGGTCCCATGAGAACTTTTGTGCAGAAAGGCTAGAAATATAACATACTTAATTTTTAGACAAATCGATTAAGGCTCATTTTACATATGGTTTGTGCATGGTCCTTTATAAAATAATTGCGTCAAACTTTAATTTGCTCACCTGTCCTATACAGTTATATTTGAACTTGCAAATGCTCGAAAATAGACCGGGTGGTACAAAATTACTTGTACATACAAAGATTATAACAAGACTACATATTTGAATATCAATATTTTCGCATGGACATCAAAAGTAAACTTCTTAGTTCACAAAGTGTGGTTCATAGCTCAGGAAGTTTTTTTGCATCAGCTTGGATTCTGTTTTTTTGTTAAATCTTATTTAAAAAGGGCACGTTTTAATGAATCTGCATCTTGACAAGTCAGAAATTGCGTCCAAAATTGTTTTTAAACAAACTCCTAAATTTGTTTTTTCCCGAACTGAACAAAAAGGTTCTTATGAACTTTTTTCTATGGTTGATAGTTCTCAAGATATAAGTGATGGATTTTGCTTATCCGGATAGAAAAAAAACAATATCGTTCAAAGGGGTCATTTTTGAACAAGATTATGCAAAAATTCGGATCAGAACATTTTTCCGTGCAAATACAAAGATAATTCTTGAAGTATTCATTAGTTATTTTTTAGAAAATCGCGATGGACAGTTTATTAAATCAGGAAGTCTCCAAAATGAACTTAACTGGCTACTCGACTCCTATCTAATTTCATAGAATAAATGAATATTTCTCACAGTTTTTATCTTAGGAAAAGGAAATAAATCGATTTCAATTTTTAAGAGCGCGAGATGGATATATATTTTCAATTAAATTATTTTTTTTATTTTTAATACAAAACGGTGAAAACGCCATCAGACATGATGTGACGTCATACAAATTGTGAACAATGAAAGATCATCCGTATGTCACTCGTGGGTTAACGTTGTCTCCTTTAAATATTTTTGAAAAAATCCTAATCGACGTAAAAAGTTGCCGTTTTCTCGTTTTATTGAAAATAATAATCACGGAAGTTGGATTCGTAAAAGCAGAAATTTGTCGAAATTTGACACATTGAACGTTTGTAGTTTTTGCCTACAAACCAGACTTCTGCTCTGCTGAACTGAGGAAAATCAAGGCTTCTAAGTACAGTGCATCTGATATAATATGATAGACATAAAAAGGAAGAATAAGTAATACTGACATAATCTCTCTTTTCAGAAGTCATTCAACACTAGAATCATGCGTCATAACGTTTGAATAATTTTATCTAAAATTGTATTTTGCTGTCAGATACTGTTTACAAATGGTATGACGTCAGCGCACATCAATATGGGCCAAACATGGCGGATCGCTTTTTTCCTGCCTAAGAAAAATATATTTTTAAATTAAAGTTCTATGGTCTTTAAGATCTGAAAAAATATAGTCTTAATTTTTTTTGATCTAACAGAACAAATATTAACTATTTAAGACCTACTTAAAATTTCCAATTTCCTTGCCTGCTTGCCCGAATAGCCAAAAGAATACAATTACAATATGAGTCATATATACCTTCTCTCCCTTTCTAAACGACGTTGTAGTCAACCATAAAGTAGCAATCGGGCCTGCCCGTAGAGCCCCCATCAATGACAGGTAAATAATGCCTTCTTAACAGTCGTATCCTCACGTATGTAAATGATACCAAAACAACCAATCACTCGCAGTGGGGAGCAGTGTTGCTGTCTGCCCAGAAGGTAGAATGTTTCAATATCCCTATCAACGGGGGATTTTTATGAAACTGCTACAGCAATCGCTATAATTCAGGCTACATCGTGGAGGTCAGGCGTATGTGGAACAGTCACGGCTCAGAATTTTGATATTTGTAAAGAATTTTTTCTCAAGACTGCTTAATTTGATATTCAAGTGACGAGGAGCCCAAAAGATTGGAGTGCCATTAGGGATTTCGATCATATTGGGTCATACGAGGCTGGGGTTCGAATAACGGCATTTCCTAGTCTACAAAGCAGTTTCACTCGTTTCGGACTGAAAATCACGCGATGCTTTTAGACATTTTCTGTCATACTAGCTAAAAGTGGAAAGAGGTACAGCAATAACTTTGTGATGAATTTAGCACATTTTCTTGTCTAGTTTTGAGGAATCAGTAATTAATTTAATTAGATATCTTAGTGTAAACACGGAAAATTTTACTGTTGTGATCATTTACATCATTCCGTGAATAGAAGGGAAATACTGAACTTCTGTGAAATGATACAAACAGGAACTTTCTATATTCAATTAAAAACTAGTTATCGGCAAGAGACGTGTATATCACGGATTGACCAAAAAAAGTTACGGACTGAAAGCTGGCACCTGTGACGGTTATTGCTTATCTCAATTGTGGTTATATCATCGGAAGACAACAGAAACACAAAGAGGTCATATGTAGGTATTTTGGATATTTTGTAAGTGGTTGGAAGGAGGTACTTAAAACAAAACGCAGTCTGAAATGTTTGTTGCATAAGTCATAGCATTTTTACTTAATTGCAAATACATTTTTTATGTGACAGAGGCATAGTACAATGGCGAGATCGTGAGGTCCATACGCCTACTCTGCTGCTTTGTGAGTATACGTATATATACCTTGTCTTGAGAATATGTAAAAAGCGTATCTATCTAATGTTAGTTCTGGACTGCAAAATTAACTCAATGTTTGTGTAATTGAAATATCCAAACATCCTGGATCTAGTTCATAACATTTTAAGAGGGGTAATCGGTGCCAATCGCAGAAAGATGCATAGCAGTATCAATCTAGTGTTCCTACTTATCTCCAGATTGAGAGCCAGTAAGCCAACGTTCAGGTATAACTTATATGGCTTCACATGTATCTCATCTAATTTACAAATATTTTCTAAATATGTAGGTATGTAGTGCGCTCAAGGAACCGCTGTCAGCTCAAAATAGACACATTATTCTTTGAAAATGTCAGTCCGTGACGGTGCGTTTGAGCAACAACTGTTAACGTATCAAAAAACGTTCTTTGACTAATTGCTGCCTGTAACGCAAATGATCTGAAGCCGGAGTTGGAAGAATCAGATCCACCCCGTTTCAGAGATATGGTGCAAAATGCATGTTTAGTGTTACGACTGACATAAATTCAAAGCTGTATAAACAATCTAATATTCTAATTATATCATCATCAAATCATAAACTTCAGATCCGTTCAAGATAATATGGGGATATTATAGAATTACAAGGAAAATATGGTCTACAAGCCCTATAAATTTCCTAATAGAGCGCCAGAACGCGCTATGTGAAATGTGCATATCTACTTCATTAATAAGAAGCTATGTAAAGAATTCTTTA